CGAGTTGCGAATCTCAGCGATTTGCTCTGGTGAAACAGTCACAGGTACCAAGTCGGGATCGGGGAAGTAACGATAATCGGCCGCGTCTTCTTTGCCTCGCTGTCCAAATGTCGCGTTTCGGTTGGCGTCCCAGCCACGTGTCTCTTTCGTGACACCTGGATCACCTAACTTACGGCCTGTTTCATCGAAGATTTTCCGTTGTCGCTTTGCTTCGAACTCAATGGCCGCTTCGACAGCGCGGAAGCTGTTCAGGTTTTTCACTTCGACGATGGGAGTGGCAACTTTGTCATCGCCTTCGCCGATATGAAGATTGACATTCGCATCGCAGCGAAGGCTTCCCTCTTGCATGTTGCAGTCAGAAACTCCGAGGAAAGTTAGCAAAAGATATAATTCTTCAAGATATGACTTGGCTTCGGCGGCAGAACGAATGTCGGGCTCGCTGACAATTTCGAGGAGAGGTGTTCCGGTTCGGTTGAGATCGACCTGACTGTCATTACCTCGGCCTGATTCGTCATGAATGTTTTTTCCGGCATCTTCTTCGAGGTGAGCCCGGTTGATTCTGATTTTGCGACGAGCGCCATCGTCGCTGGTGACTTCGAGCCAACCATCGTGGCTGAAGGGGAGATCGTACTGGCTGATTTGATATCCCTTGGGCAAGTCAGGATAGAAGTATTGCTTGCGGTCCCATTTCGTGAAGGGAGCGATCTCGCAATTCAGAGCGAGTGCGGTCACCAGGGAGAGGTGAAATGCTTCTTCGTTCATCACTGGCAGGCTGCCTGGATGACCCAGGCAGACAGGGCAGGTTTGCGTGTTCGGCGCATCGGGATTGAAGCGATTCACACAACCGCAGAAGATTTTGGTTTTCGTCAGAAGTTGCACGTGGACTTCCAGGCCCACGATGAGAGTCTCAGCCATTTTCTTTCCTTCATCAGTGAAGCAGGCAGTTTAGCTGAGACATCCAGAGAGGACGAGGGAAAACAAACCGCACAACTGCACCATGGCCTATGAAACTGCTTTGCTGAATGACTCAGGTTTAAAAACCCTGGTTTTCATTGACGAAATGCAGGGCGTCCCTTCAGACTCAAGCCCTTTCTGACAAATGCACAATAGAAATAGGATATGGACGATGGATCACGGATCAACGACTCTCGATTTCAAATCACCTCCCATTGTGATCACAATCATTGTCTCAGCTGCGATAGTTCTTTCTTCATGGCAACTTGCAGCGAGCATCGAAGCCTACGGCCGCAGCGTTGAACGGGCCGCCGGTTTGACCAAGCCTGCGTCGGTACACATTCCTTCAACGATCTCGATTCGGCTTGAGTCAGGGAACAGCCCTGTTCGCATCTCAAATCAGTAGGACAATGCCCTCTGTTTGTGGGTCAGATTCAAACTTAGGGCGTGCAGTTGAACAGATCAACAGTCAACGATAACTTACAAACATGCGAATTCGTTTCCTGGCGATCATTCGGTCGCTTTCGATTCTGGCATTCTCCATTTTTTCATTCTGATTCATTTTGAAATTACGAGGGGGACTCAATGGGACTATTCGATTCGTTATTTGGCGGAATGGACGGAGGTGGCCGCCTTTCCCCTCAGGAAGCCTATGCCGGCGTGTTAATGGGAGCTACGGCTTGCGATGGTCATTTCGCTGACGATGAAGTGAATAGCCTAGTCATCGCACTGGCGAGGATGAAACTTTACGAACGAATGTCAGACAAACAGTTCGGCCAGATGCTCGACAAGCTGCACGGGGTCATCAAGAAGAAAGGGGTCGAGTTTTTGATTGAAGGGTGTGTTGAACAATTACCGAAAGGACTGGAGAAAACGGTCTTCGCGAATGCTTGTGACATCGTTCTGGCGGATGGCGTTGTCGAGGATGATGAAAAGGCATTCATCGAGAGCCTCCGCAAGAAACTGCAGATTGAAAGTGGGACAGCCAAAGTGATCGCAGAGATCATGGTTGTCAAAAACAAAGGTTAATTGGCTCTATTTCTGTCAGATAGAATTCAACATCTCTTTCATAACACTGTACTGGATCTCATATGTCTGTTTTTGATGATGTTCTCGGTGATTCCGATGCGTTCTCTGAGAAACAATTTGGTCCGCAGGAAGGCTTCGCGGGAATTCTGGTGGCTGCCTCTGCATGTGATGGACACTCTTCAGATGAGGAGGTCCGGGGAGTCATGAAAATCCTGGGGAGGATGAATCTCTATTCACGACTGTCCGATCAAAACTTTGGGAATATGATGGATCGTGTCCTGGGCGTGCTCAAAAAAGGTGGTCCGGAAAAACTGATTCAGAAATCAGTGCCAGCTGTCCCCCCAGAGCTGCGTGAGACTGCTTTCGTCAATGCCTGTGATGTTGTCCTGGCTGATGGAGTCGTTGAAGACGACGAAAAAGAATTTATTGACCAGATGATGCGGCAGTTGGAAATCGATGAAAGCCGAGCGAAAACTATTATTAAAGTGATGGTTTATAAGAATAAAGGATAGAGGCTCACGGCGGTCATGTTCAGCGATTACATAGCCAGTCACTTAAAGTGACTGGCTAATTTTGTAACAACCCGTACGATTCTCATCCATTCCTTCCCCCTGTTCCCACCGGTTCTTCACATTCATGTCGGACGATTTTCAGAATACTGATCTTCCAGGTGAGAATGATGGCCCCCATCGACTCGGTCTATTCATCGCTATTGGAGTCTCCATTCTATTTATCGTTCTTCATTTCTTGCGTGGGCAGTCAGAAGATTTTGGGCTGACAATCGCCTATCTCATCGTAGAAGTTACTTTGGTTTCGATTGTGATCTGGCAAGCTTGCGATCCCTTTGCGGATGCAGCTCAATGGGTTGGGCAGAAATTACATCTGCCCGGGTCTGTCCGTGGAGCGACTCTGGATGCCGTGGCCAGTTCGATGCCGGAACTATTCAGCGGAATTTTCTTCGTCCTGCTGGCCTTGCGGGCAGCCTACGGAGGGACTCCAGAAGCGCTCGTCGAGGCGGGAGCAGAAGGTTACGGCTCGACGATTGCCACTTGTGCAGGGAGCGCGGTCTATAACATGATTCTCATTCCTGCCTTTTGTGCACTGGCGATTGGATTAACCAGAAAAGAACGTCCTACAATCGACGTTGAAGATGAGGTCATCTCGCGCGATGGAATCTGGTTCGTCAGCTGCGAAATGCTGCTCATTCTGTTTTTGTTTCAGAACACCATGCACTGGTGGATGGGACTCATACTCCTAGGACTTTATTTCGTTTACATCTATCAACTTTATCGGGACGCCAAGTTGTTCCGCCTAAAAAAGGCTGCCATCAAGTTATACCTCGAAGAACATGGAACCGAGGTTGAAGTCGGTCGCGTTCTGGATGCGTTAGATGAGCAGGGAATCAGCGTTTCCCGAGGTGTTGTGACGCTGGCCAAAGAGGAAATTCAAAAGGAGATCTCGCGCGAGGAACTGGAACAGGAAGAAATTCCGGATGATGCCGGGGTGCTGTTTGGATATTTCGCGATTCCATTAACCGGTCTCACCACGACACTCATTCTCGCGGTGACGACTCTGATCTCGGCTGCCGCCTGTTATTTTCTGGTTGAAGCCACGATTGAAACCGCAGAAGCACTTGCCGTGCCCGCCTTCTTTGTGGCAGTCATTGTCGCTGCCGCGGCCTCATCAGTGCCGGATACGTTGCTGGCGATAGGAGCTGCGAAGCGAGGAGACGATTCGGGAGCTGTCTCCAATGCATTCGGCTCAAATATCTTCGACATCTGCGTTTGCCTGTCGATTCCGCTGTTGGTGAACAGCTATCTGACTGGCTGGCAACCGGTTGCGTTGCTGCAAGACGGTAAACCAATTGCTGGGTTGGTCGGTTTGAGAATCCTGCTGGTTGTGCTGACGATTATCACACTACTGGTGATGTGGCATAACCGTCAGTTGACCGTGAAGAAGGCACTCTTTCTCTGTGGGCTCTATGGAGTCTTTATCGCCTATGCAGTGCTGGGATCGTTGGGGATTCTGTTTTAAGTGCTATATGCATTCCTGGCTTTACTGGTTCGTGAACTGTTGTTGTTCTTTAGCCAAGTTTTCTTCGATTGTGTTTACAGCATGATAAAAAGGAATCAGGAGCTAGGAATTGGGAATTAGCCTGCAATGCGCAAGTAGAGTGACGTCAAGTTCGGTTGAACAGTGGTGTGCCTGCACAAATCTGTTTTGCTCTCAATTCAGTTTGTTTCTTGATTGCAAAAGTACCAGCGAATGTAGCCCGACCAAACGCACTGTTACCTCGACTGATGCAAATTTTGGGAATGGACCGCTCATTGACACTTATAAACGCTAATTCCACAGTTTATCTGCGTTCATCAGTGTTCATAAGCGGTAGAAACAGTTTCTCAGAAGCTTTTTACGTTCCGAAGACCTCCCATTGAAATCGTTCCTTTTGAAACGCTGTTTCACTAGAAAAGACAACCATTCAGGCAAAACGGAGCTTTTGATAGTTCGCTCACGAACAGAGTTTGGGAACGAGTTCTCACTCATAGCGGCGAGTTGTTTGTGGACTGAGGCTTATGCTCTTATTTCTCTCCTTCTCATTGCAAAATCAGGGAAAATGTAGGGCTCTCTGATCGTCTGGCTACGTTGGTCCACGTGGATGCGATAGGATGCAGCCAAGTTGCAAAGCTGACCAATCAATCTACTCGAATGCCGGACAAGAAATGCTCTGGGAAATTGAAATCACACCCGCTGAAGGTTCTGTTGATCGCGAGGGAATCTCCGCTCTAGCCGAATGCAAACTGCGAAATCTGAGTTCGATTCGTTCGGTCCGATCAGCCCGCTCTTATCTGATTGAGGGGACGCTTGATGAGTCAGCTGTCAGACAGGCTGCTGACTTGCTCAGTGATGATGTGGTTGAAGAGAGAGTGCTGAGAAGACTCCCGCATGAGACTGATCCAGAGCAGCAAGGAGAGCATCTGCTCAATGTGCTTTATAAACCAGGTGTGACGGACAATGTCGGGTTGACCGCATCCCGAGCGTTGCAGAATCTCAATATCCCGTCTGAACAAGTGGCGACTTGCCGCAAGTATTGGGTGAATGCCGATGCCAGTGAAGATGAAGTGGCCCGCTTCGCTTCGCGAGTTCTTTCCAATGATTCCATTGAACGAGTCCTAGATGGTCCGTTGACGCTCACCAGTTTAGCGGTCGGTAGTGATTATCAATTCGAATTGCAACATGTCTCAATCCGAGAAATGGATGACGATGCACTGATGCGTCTGAGCAAGGAAGGTCAACTCTATTTGAGCTTGCCCGAGATGCAGACTATCCGCTCGAAGTTTCAGGAACTTGATAGGGACCCGACGGACATCGAGTTAGAAACAATCGCCCAAACCTGGAGCGAGCACTGCTCTCACAAGACTCTCGCAGGCCGTATTGCCTATCGCGATGAAAATGGTGAGAAGCGTTTCGAGAATATGCTCAAAGAAACAGTCTTTGCAGCGACCCAGGAGATTCGCAAACTCCTGGGAGAGAATGACTGGTGTGTCAGCGTTTTCAAAGATAACGCCGGAATTGTGACGTTCGATGATGAACAGGATGTCTGCATCAAAGTCGAGACGCATAATCACCCCTCTGCATTAGAACCCTATGGTGGGGCGAACACTGGTCTGGGGGGAGTGATTCGTGATCCACTCGGAACAGGGATGGGAGCACGTCCCGTTTGCAATACAGACGTTTTCTGTTTCGCTCCGCCTGATACGCCGTTTGATTCATTGCCTCCCGGAGTTCTGCATCCACGGACAGTCATGCATGGTGTCGTCGCTGGCGTCCGGGACTACGGCAATCGCATGGGAATCCCCACGGTCAACGGAGCCGTCTTCTTTGATGAACGGTACCTCGGAAATCCGCTCGTCTACTGTGGTAACATTGCCATGATTCCGCGGGGAATGAGTGAGAAGGAAGTCATTCCTGGGGATTACATTGTCGCTGTCGGCGGCAGAACTGGTCGAGATGGAATTCATGGGGCGACCTTCTCCTCTGCGGAACTGACGCATGAGAGCGAAGAGCTTTCCGGTGGTGCCGTTCAGATTGGGAATCCTATCACCGAAAAAATGGTGCACGATGTGATTCTTGATGCCCGTGATCAAGGTCTTTTCAATGCGATTACAGACTGTGGAGCGGGGGGCTTCAGTAGTGCGGTCGGGGAGATGGGAGAAGAGACCGGAGCTGAGGTCTGGCTGGAGAAAGCCCCGCTGAAGTATAGCGGTCTTTCCTACACCGAGATCTGGATCAGTGAAGCACAAGAACGCATGGTGTTGGCGGTCCCGGAAGAGAAGTGGCAAGCCTTCAACGATTTATGTGCCAGCGAAGGTGTCGAAGCCTGTATCCTCGGGAAGTTCACCGATTCGAAGGAACTGGTCCTGAAATACGAAGGCGAAGTCGTTGGGCACTTGCCGATGTCCTTCCTGCACGATGGTCGCCCGCCGGTCGTTCGTGAAGCGACCTATCAGCCACAACCAGAGACTCCAACGAATCTCTCATCTATTGAATTCTCACATGGAGAAGTTCTCAAACAGATTATGGCCTCGCTGAACGTCTGCTCCAAAGAGTCGATCATTCGACAGTATGATCATGAAGTTCAGGCGGGATCGGTGGTCAAGCCGCTGGTCGGTATCAAGAATGACGGGCCGTCTGATGCCGCTGTTGTTCGACCTGATTTGAGGAAGCCACGCGGTCTGGTCATTGGCTGCGGGATGAACCCTCAACTGGGT